GCTCACAAAAATCTTTTGCTTTAATTTGTGTGATTGGTGAAAGAAGTTATTATTGTTATTTTCTAAGTGGTCCAAAAATAACACATGGTGGGTCTACAACTATGTCCACAAGTATTTTGGCAGTATTTACCCTTATAATGATTATCCAACAAACTTTCTGATGGGATTTTATTGTTTGGAAAATATATATAGATATATAGGATTTAATTCCTATAACATCTTCAACATTCAAATACAATATACACTTAAGGATGTTGCCCCCTACAGAACAAATGAATTGTACATCTTCAGGTCCAAAACTGGTTATTTTCAAGGCAAATTTATTTTCCCGGCCACCTGTAAAATTTCCTCCCATACAACTATGATCATAGCGTATTTATTTGAACATAGTTATTTTGGTAAAAATGGAAATGTTTTTTTCTTATAATTATTTTAAAAGCTATTAATCTCAAATTATTATTTATATACTTTTGGTGTGGATCATGTTTTAAATAAACAATGTGTATTAGGATTTAAGGACATTAGATATCTTTGTTTCAATTACAAATGTTGAAAAACAAATCATTTCACTCCAAGCAATGCAATAATGCCACTAAGATGCTTAGTGTGAAAGTATATAAAAAGAATATTAAAGAGCAAATAGTTAACCCCCAAACTGGGGTCAGAATACTGCAAAGGTGTAAAAATAGGTTTTATTACCAGCAACACATTTTTGAAAAAAAATATTACCTACAAAATCTTATCAGCATGAAATAACCCATTTAGGTTGATATCCCATAAACCAAACATACATGTCAGAAGTGAGTTTTAAATTTTTACAGACATCAGAACATAATGTAACTGGAAGGTGCTGCTTGGAAGATGGATGACCAGTGACCAGATATGGCTCAGTTGTGCACAGTTTTGTTCAGACAACAAATTTGATCTAAACCAATGGATTGGTTTTTCAAGAGTAATAACTGAAGATTGAGGTGTTATATTAAATATTTGGAAGGTGGGAAAGAAACCACCTGAATACTTGTTTTTGTAACCAAATTTCATTCATTACAAGGCTCAAAAGACCTTCAAGGTAGAGGGTTACAGTTGAAATGATAATGATGAATGAAATGTGTGATATGAATGGAAGAGAAGATAATATGGAGTGGAGATGATGAAGATAAGGAGGATAGATAACAATTGGCCCTTGACATTGGAGAGATCAAGATTAAAATGTCCAGGGAAGCATTCATACAGGTGACAGTTCTTTGGAAAAAAAAGCTGAGTGGAATTTTCTTATATTTGAAATATAGGGGAAATGAAGATGATTCGACTCCATGGAACCAGCAATGGTGTGTCCTAGATCTGAAGTAGTGGGACTAAAGATTGGGGTTCATCAGATCATTTGCCATGAAAATCATGCGAGATTATTGACAGGGTTGGAGAGTGGAAAATAAGTCTGTCACAAGATCACACCAACAATTTTGAACTGTATCAAGAAATTCAACTGTATCACCTAGAATAAATATCAATTTGTGTTTGTAAGCACTCGTATAGACATCTGTTCAACAAAGTGACAGTTCTTGGGTAAAAAAAAAAAAATGCTGAGTGGAATTTTCTTATATTTGGAATATAGGGGAAATGGAGATGATTTGACTCTGTGGAAGCAGCAATGGCTTGTCTTAGCCGTAAAGATCTGAACTGGTGGGACTAAAGAATTGGGGTCATCAGATCATTTGCTGTGAGAGGATATGAGGAAAAAACATTAAGAATAAAAAAAAAAGCCTAGAAATTATGAAAACAGAAGATAAAGATTGACATTGCACTTAAATTTTTGAAAATTGACGCTTTGTATGAAGGTTGTCTTTTGGTATGGGTAATAGTGGTTAATTTTGTTTGCCTCACAATCTTGTGCATTCCACATTACTGAAAAATATCAGTACATAATTTGTTAAAAACCTCACATATGAATTTTTCATTCATGTGTAATCAAAACCTCAAAGCAACTAACGTAACCAAGTTGGTGTAAATGATTTTCAAAGTTTGATTTGGATATTTTTTGTATGTTGGCTATAATCTCCCACAACATTTAACATTGTTCTCAAATATTGTCTTGTTTTGATCATTATCAGCATCAAAACGTCTATCTGTGGAGCTTTGTTTAGTGAGAAATTTTGGACATGTTTATTCTCATACCTTATCTATGAAATACACAGTTGTTTTTTATTTTTTTGTATTTAAGATTTAAGTTAGATTTTTTTACCTTTCTAAATGGATGTATAGTTTGGTCAACAGTGTGGCAAAGGCCAGCTGTACATACACTGATTTATATCTTGTGTACGATGCGGGCCCCCTTAAAATTAACTTCAAAATTAGATCTTAAAAAGTCAAATGATAGATGAATATATACAGTATATGAGTGAGAGTCCCCCTCTCTGACATCCAAATATTCTAAAGCTTAATAATTACTAGTAATATTGCAAATGTTCCCACAGGGCCATTGCTTCATAACTGGTTACAGATAAACAATTCTTCATTGATTTTTTTTTTTTTTCTACTTAATTATTACTTTTCTTTTTAGGCCCTTTGATCTGGATTAATGTTTAGCAAGGTTAGTCTGTTTGACTTTAGTAGTGAGTTTGATCCTCATTGGGTGCTCCATACAAAAACACAAAATAATCCAACAAAAGTTGATATGTCATAAAAACTACCAGCCTAACCTACCTACCTTTTTTTTTTTTTTTTTTATTTTTTTTTTTATTTTATTTGTTGCTTCTGCTTGAAGTTGTAGCAAAAATGTTTGCATGTCTCATCAAAGACTGCATGAGGTTTTTTTTTTAAGTCATTATTTTTTTATTTTTTTGTCATTAGTTGTTCATACCAATGCTTTTTTTTTTTTTTTCCTGTGTCAGCAAAAAATTTAGTAGTAGATAACCCTTTATCTAGCAAGACAATGGTGTTTGCCCAAAATTCGCTCCAATGATGGTGAGACTGGAGTGATCTCTGCAGGATGCAGGGCCCAGGTAATAGTATATGGAAGCCATGCACTGCCAAGACCAAGTAGTCCCACTCTCGGTCATACCCACAAGATACAAAAGAATACAGGGCATTACATTTGCAACCAGCTTGGTTGCAGGAGTTACCAGAAGCTTGTCAGCATTGGCAGACAATCACTTCAGATTTTCTGTTTGTATTTACTTCCCTCACCTTTTCCATGTTTGCATATGACCACATGGCAGTGGGGTTTTCCTTCTCATTGATGGATTGTCTTACCAAGCTGACAAGCAGCTGGTTATGAGATGCCAGTGGTCCATCTTCATCCCTGTCTGTCAGAGGCTATTCGAGACACAGAAGCATTTTATAAATAGTGGAAGCTTGTCCTTGGTACCACCCCCAGCTATAGCAACCTTTGGATCATATATAATGCAGATATTACATACATTACATGTTTTAGAAGCTCCCAAAAATTAATTTTTTTTAGATACAAACATATTTGTTTCATAGACAAAAACAGTAGAAAGCAAGACAAATTGCAAAAAGTGTCAGACATAAACAAACATTAATATTGAAAAGTTTCATAATTGAGGAATAAGGTAGGTAAAAGAAAAACATAAATCAGGATTTAAGCCTAAAATACTCAGATTATGAAGTTGTTATTTATAACATACAATAAAAATAATCTATACAACCTTTTTGACAATTCTAATATCTAAACTATCAATTGATAAAAATTGAATAAGAGTAGAAAATACAAAGTTGATAAATATAACATGATAAATATTTGATATTAAATAACTTAATAATTCAAAATTAATAATAATAATTATTATGGAATTATAAATAATTTTTTAATATTGAATTATTAATATTCTAATTTATATCAATATTTTAATATTCTAATTTATATCAATATTTAATCACTTTTATTTAAGATAATATTCAATAATTTAATTAATATTTAATTTCCAATATTTATTTTAATTTTTTCTAATATTGAATTATTTTATGAAGTGGAATTATTATTAACAATTAATAATTCAAAAATTAATAACTTAAAAATTAACTTGATAAACATTTGATGAAAAATAAGACAAATGATCTTCAGGTTAGTTGTACATGAACAAATAAATGCTAATACATTTAATGTAGAGTAACTGTGGAAAATGCTTAAATGAATAATGAGTACAAATATAATAATCATAATATAATAAATAAAAGAAATAGTAATTGCAAATTATATAAATACTACATTTTTTTATATATATATATATATATATATATATATATATATATATATATATATATATATATATATATATATATATTATAAATTGATTTAAAATATTTTGTTTCACTACACAGTTCTAACCATGTTTAAAAATGGAGCTAAAAAAAGCGAATTTAATTTTGTAATTAAATTAAAGACATTAGTTCCATTTCATCCTCAAGAATTTTGGAGTAACTTTTAAAATTACTGGGTTTTAAACATGAATTTTGTTTTAGCTGTGTATTTAAAACCCAATAATTTTAAAAGTTACTCCAAAATTCGCTATAAGATCATGGAATGAGCCAAAAAGCTTTATTTACAAGTATCTTTTTTTAATGAGCCAAATACTAGTAATTAAAGCTTTTTGGCTCATTCCATGGTCTTACCTGTTTATCTGCTCCATAACCAGTAAATAAGGTGGTGTCCCAGGAGATATATATATATATACTTCAAATTATCATAACTTAACAAATACATGGAGTTAAGATAAAGTTAGTCTCAGGATTTTAGAAGTGGTCTATCTACTTTCAGACTAGATATAACAAATGTCACTTGGGAATGTTCACATGTCCTCTTGTGAGCCCACTGTTGATCAATATTTACATGAATTGCACTAAGTTTCAATAAGTGACAAGTTAACCTATCAGATAGTGTAATGCTTGTGTGACTAATGTAAGAATTTTTTTTTTTTTTTATAATTCTTATATACCTTGTTGGTTGAATTTAATACAACTTGCTGCCTTTACACTTAAAAGCAATGATAAGGTATAAATCAAATGCTACGAAAATAATCATTAGAAAATATGTGGTACAGTCTTTTTTTTTTTTTTAAATATGTGAACTAATATTAAGACAAAAAACATAAAAAAGTAGCCACCAAACTCAACTTTTTCCAGATACAAATACCTGAGTGTCGCTGGCCTCTTGCAGAAGTATTTACCCCCAGTTCTTGGTGCCTTATTCAATTTGTTTGCTGTTTTTGCCGTGTCCTGCTTGAATGGAATCTACAGTTTTCTCAGGTCTGTTGATCTTTCTACTAATCTTAAGGTTTTCATAATAAATTACATTTTTCTCTTTTTATCAGACACACCAGGTGTATGAAAAAGGTTAGTGGCCTTTTTTCGTTTTAATCATTTCACCCCAAGCAAGGCAATAAAACCACTAAGACATAAAGGGTTACTGAGTTTGAAAGAATATGAGAAAAAAAGAAAATATTCTTAAGGAGAGAATAAAAGAACAAAAATTAAGAAGGCAGAAGATAACGATTGACATTGCATTTAATTTTTTGAAGATCAAAGTTGACTGGAAAACAAGAAGTCAGAAGAGTGCTGTACAAGCAAGAAGTGTGATAAATGAAATTGTTAGCATTGAACTTACAGTTACATCTTGCCGTTCCAACTGTAAAATGATGAGAGCTTGTGCCAATCTAGTACTGTACTTAAATTCATAAAGTTTAAGTACCATAATTGAATGCTCATCAGAACAATTACCATGAAAATATTTATAGAAAAGACACAGGGAAGCTACATTATGGTGATTGGAAAGTGACTGAAACTGACATGCCAGCTCAGAACCAATAACATTGCAGATTCTTCTTTGGATTTTATCAAGAATCTCTAAATACATAGCAGAAGCACCAGACCAGATGTGATAACAATTTTGTAATTATTTTATCTTTTGGCAAACAAAAAAAAATTTTTTTTTTTTTTGCTTTTAGAAATGGAAGTTTTCTCATCATGCTCTGTAAACAAAATGCTTTCATTTTCATCAAGTTGAAGGTGGTTTTCAAATACAAGTGCTGCCTTTATCAACTTTGAGATGCATGCAAAACATGCCTGAAAGTTAAAATATTTCATATTCTGCACCACTTTGGAAGTTCACCTGCTGCATACCTTGTCAATGGCTCTTAAAATATGCTGACCGCATTCCCTGCAGCAAGGTGAGATCCTGTAAATAAAGGGAGCCACTTTGACTCGAGTGCTAACCAAACACGTCTATCTTTTTTTTCTATTCTTGTACAAAGCAGATGCATGTCTTTCTTTTTTGTTTTCACTCAAGCACAAAGTGAACATGTCTACATTTTTGGATTCTCATGCAAACCAGACGCATGTCTTCCTTTTTTGTTGATTTATTTTTTATTATTTTTATCCTATAACACATCTGACATTAAATAACCCAACAAGGTGTGATTGATATAGTTAAATTAGCTAACCTGAACCTAAACCAACTGGCATACAAAGGATAGCACAATTGTAACTGCTCAGAATCACTCTCTAAAAATGGTTACATTGTTGTTTCTATTATATCATGGTAGTGTTTGTGGTTATCTTGACTTATTATAAATACAAATGTTGCAGATATCTAACTTTAAACTTTAGACTTTAAACAGAGGTCATCATTATTTGTTGAAAAATTTCAGCTTAAAATCCACTACTTTTTTGAAGCCTTACAACCATAAAAAATTGTGCTGTAATCACTCAAATTAGAAGTCTATAGCCACCCTTAATTAGAAGTCTATAGCCACCCTTAAGTCTATAGCCACCCTTAATTAGAAGTCTATAGCCACCCTTAATTATGTGGTAAGCAGTAGCAATGTAAGTTGTTTATACTGAAGGGTTCAATGGGATGCTAGAAACAAATAAAACAAAAAGCTTTATTGGTGAGAGGAGGTACAAATAAAGAAATTTTACAAGAAATGTTTTGATATCAACTGAAAAAGTTAAGTTTATTTTTTTTTGTAAAATAAATAAATGTATTTATTTTTTTGTTTTCCTAGAGCAGCATCTGTACCAGCAAGCAAAGCCGTATCAAGACTAACGTGAGTTCAGTAACAATATAAATACCTTTATTACTAAGTACTTTGGAAAATTTGAACTTACAAAATAATCCCAGGAACCTATCTTGTTCATAAATAGGAAGGGCTACCCTTTTCATTTTTTTTTTTTTTAAATGATTCTATGTTCCTTTAGGAAGTAGGTAATTGTGTCTCTCCACAAGTTCCTGTACTTTATGATTTGTGAATTGGCATCATTTCTTGGGAAAAACAGAATGGAGTGGTTTCCTGTTGCCTTCTTCTTGGTTTTGTGTTCAGAATAGTCAGTCTTCCATCAAAATCCATAGATCCCAGTCTACCCTGCTTATTGATAGCTGATGGAAAAAAAATGGATTCATGCCTTTCCCAAAGACATTTGTATGAAAGTGAATGCAACAGATGAAGACGGAATTTGAACTCTGTTTGCCAATTTCACTTTTCGCTTCAAAAGGTGTTATGCTATCTGCAAATCCTAGGAAATTCCTATTTATCCCTCAGCCAACTCCAGGTAGGTCTTACAGATTGAGTTCTACTGCTAGTATAAATAGCAAAATTGTATCCATTGTTGGCTTGCTAGGCCTGTCCCACAGATTACAGCATCTGTGTATTGAGGTTGGGGTAAACACCTAACCAATTGCTGTCCTAAGAAATATGGGGGTAATAGTTGGGGAAAGAGGAAGGAGGTAACAAAATAACACTGTCTCACAAAATGCCTACAGGACTGACTTCTGTTGCTTTTATTGACAGGAGACAGTTGAGAGAAACTCAGATCTATATAAGTTGCAGAGAGGCCCATCTGTGAACATGCCAAGCTGTTCAGCTGTTAATGGGAGTGAAGGGAACTTGATGCAAATGGTTTTGACAGACATATCTGCACATAATCTGGAGCCTCTCTTGCATCTGTACTGATGTGCATTCACCAGCACCTGATATTCTCCAGTGGCCACCCATCTGAATACCGACCTGGTTCAACATTGCTTAACTATAGTGAATGGGTAAGAACAGGTGTTTCAATGTGATATGGCCATAACAATGTTTTTTTTAACCATTAGGGTGGTAGGGGCACGATGTACTACAGTAGCAGTAGTGTGTCATAATAGCCTGACTGAGCCCAATCCTCTCCAGATAGGTTTTGAATTCAGTTTCCTTCTATGCCATCCAAGGCTATAGAACCTAATCTGTTCTGCTATTTGCCCATAGCTGGAGGTTTTTTGAATTCAGTTTCCTTCTAAATCTGTTGCCATCCATGGCTATAGGATCCAGTCTGTCCTGCTATTTACCTATCTCTGGAGGGAAAAAACATTTCATAAAGAAAGAAGGATTCATAACAAAAGGGCATTAGCACATAAGTGAATGTAATGAACTCTACTGGAATTTGAACTCTGCTTTCCCATTTTACATTCTGAACTAATCTCCATTACTCCACCATGTCTCCAATGCTATTTAAATAGGTGTAAATAATGTTTTTTTTTTTTTTGTAGGTTTCTCCTGACACTAGTAGCAAAAAAGACTATAAGCACTTCCAAGAGATTTAAATATTTTATTTAAAAACTTTAGTCACATGGGGTGTTTTGTTATCTTCAAATTTTTAAAATCCTCCTAATTTCAAGTTGACAATTTGTTTCTTTTGCTCCCTCCCACTACTCTCCTGACTCTGGTGTGTCGCATGTGGTGTGGTCCAGTTGTTATGGTAGGCAGACGCCATGGGATTGTCCATTTTTAGAAATCTGTCAGTAAAATTTTCATTGCTGCATTATTATAGAGTTGTTAGCCTTTTTTGGGGAAAACTAAATAATTGTTATTTATTGGAAATAAATTACTATACAGAGAACAATAGCGAATTCTCATGGGTGTCAAAATTTTGGTTTCAGTCGTCCATAGGCTGGTCTACAGCCTATTGTACCCTAAAATCTTTAAGTATATTTTCATTTTCTTTAGTAACATAACTTTGCCGAGAAACACCACCTGGTGTGTGGGATCAAGAGTTAAAGCTAAATAAAAAATTATTTAGCTTCTCTTTAATCCTGTTATGCATGTGGGATAGTACGTACTGCTGTGAACAATTCTTTTCTTGCATGAAAACATTAAAACTGTTAAGAGAAATAAGTTGGCGAAAATATTATAAAAGGAAAGCAATGTCAAAAAGCACATTGAATTTATATTATTTTATGTATGTATAATTTATTTTTTTACTGTCAAAAATACAGTATTTTTTAAATTATATATATTTGTTATTAAAATTTGATATTCACAACATTTTGAACGTTATTTTATAAGTACTTTTATGGCCTGGTGAATATACCTAAATTTCTAATTTGGTCCATTGGGAAAAAAGGTTGGACAACCCTGCTCAAGAGTAAAGGCTAAGTTAAAAGACATCTACTATGTAAAGTAAGTAATGGCTGGCTCATATCCAAGTATGCCTGTTTTCTAGGTTGGCTAGCCAATCCCTATTGCAGACGCCTGGTCAGGCACATTTGTATTTGTTCAACTCACATAGCCCACCTGTGGGTTATACTGCAACTATGCTGAGTGGGCCTTAGTTACAGTTTCTGGGAGAGAGTGCATTTATCTGGCATGATCAACAGACTGAACAAGGCCAGTGCACTCAAGCCCTTGGTCACGATGACTTGCAACTTCATGCTAGCTCAACCTTTGACAGCTCTCAAATAGTTCTGTCAACCCAATTTCACTCACAAGGCTTGGGTATGGTTTTCAGGCACCTTTCCAAAGGTGCTGCACATTTGGATCGCCTCTATAAGTCGATAACCTCACAAAGTCACTATCCTGACAAATCGATCTGAGTGATATTTGAACCTGGGTCTCCTGGTCGTAAAGTTAATGTTCTCACCACTCGGTCATGTTATGGATAGTCTACTGTACAGGGTAAAGGACACACCCACTACACACAATAAAAAAAAAAAATAATCACAAAACGTGTGATGGAAATAACACTAAGTACAAGTTTAAAATGCAGATGTTTGGGACCAACATTTCATAGCGTTTTGAAAACTTGTACGCATGTTAACAGAAGGCAATATATATTTCTGCCTAAATTTCTGGGATGAGGAGTTATCATTATTTACCGAATTTACATTCAGACTAGTGTCCTCAGCTTTGTTATCATAACGTTTTTGTTGTCAAGCCCTCCATCGTTTGCCAGATGTATATAGATCTGGGTAACCAATGAAATGAACCCTTTATTTAATCTAAAGGGGGGTAGACATTTCAAATTCCTCAACCCATGTCTAGAGATAATTCTTCTGTTTCTTATTCTTAGCACTGCTCAGTTATGAAATGAAATGAACCCTTTATTTAATCTAAAGGGGGGTAGACATTTCAAATTCCACAACCCATGTCTAGAGATATTTCTTCTGTTTCTTATTCTTAGTACTGCTCAGTTATGAAATGAAATGAACCCTTTATTTAATCTTAAGGGGGAAATGAAATGACATTTCAAATGGTCATTTCAACCCTTCTGTCTAGAGATATTTCTTCTGTTTCTTATTCTTATTCTTAGTAAATGAACCCTTTATTTAATCTAAAAAGCTGTCTAGTTTTCTTCTGTTTCTTATTCTTAATACTGCTCAATTAAAATGAAATGAACCCTTTATTTAATCTAAAGGGGGGTAGACATTTCAAATTCCTCAACCCATGTCTAGAGATATTTCTTCTGTTTCTTATTCTTAGTACCCTTTATTTAATCTAAAGGTGGGTAGACATTTCAGATAATTCTTCTGTTTCTTATTCTTAGTTATTATGAAATGAAATGAACCCTTTATTTAATCTAAAGGTGGGTAGACATTTCAAATTCCTCAACCCATGTCTAGAGATATTTCTTCTGTTTCTTATTCTTAGTACTGCTCAGTTATGAAATGAAATGAACCCTTTATTTAATCTAAAGGGGGGTAGACATTTCAAATTCCTCAACCCATGTCTAGAGATATTTCTTCTGTTTCTTATTCTTAGTACTGCTCAGTTATGAAATGAAATGAACCCTTTATTTAATCTAAGAGGGGTAGACATTTCAAATTCCTCAAACCATGTCTAGAGATAATTCTTCTGTTTCTTATTCTTAGTACTGCTCAGTTATGAAATGAAATGAACCCTTTATTTAATCTAAAGGTGGGTAGACATTTCAAATTCCTCAACCCATGTCTATAATTCTTCTGTTTCTTATTCTTAGTACTGCTCAGTTATTTGAACCCTTTATTTAATCTAAAGGGGTAGACATTTCAAATTCCTCAACCCATGTCTATGGATATTTCTTCTGTTTCTTATTCTTAGCACTGCTCATTGAAATGAAATGAACCCTTTTTTAATCTAAATTAGACATTTCAAATTCCTCAAAACCATGTCTAAGATAATTCTTCTGTTTCTTATTCTTGAGTATTTAAATGAACCCTTTATTTAATCTAAAGGTGGGTAGACATTTCAAATTCCTCAACCCATGTCTAGAGATAATTCTTCTGTTTCTTATTCTTAGTACTGCTCCAAATGAAATGAACCCTTTATTTAATCTAAAAAGGGGGTAGATTTCAAATTCCTCAACCCATGTCTAGAGATATTTCTTCTGTTTCTTATTCTTAGCACTGCTCACTTATGAAATGAAATGAACCCTTTATTTAATCTAAAGGGGGGTAGACATTTCAAATTCCTCAACCCATGTCTAGAGATAATTCTTCTGTTTCTTATTCTTAGTACTGCTCACTTATGAAATGAAATGAACCCTTTATTTAATCTAAAGGGGGGTAGACATTTCAAATTCCTCAACCCATGTCTAGAGATATTTCTTCTGTTTCTTATTCTTAGCACTGCTCACTTATGAAATGAACCCTTTATTTAATCTAAAGGGGGTAGACATTTCATTCCTCAACCCATGTCTAGAGATAATTTCTTCTGTTTCTTATTCTTCTCAGTTATGAAATGAAATGAACCCTTTATTTAATCTAAAGGAATTTCCTCAACCCATGTCTAGAATAATTCTTCTGTTTCTTATTCTTAGTACTGCTCAGTTATTGAAATGAACCCTTTATTTAATCTAAAAAAGGGGTAGACATTTCAAATTCCTCAACCCATGTCTAGAATAATTCTTCTGTTTCTTATTCTTAGTACTGCTCAGTTATGAAATGAAATGAACCCTTTATTTAATCTAAAGGGGTAGACATTTCAAATTCCTCAACCCATGTCTAGAGATAATTCTTCTGTTTCTTATTCTTAGGCTCAGTTAAAATGAAATGAACCCTTTATTTAATTTAATTTCAAATTCAAATGTCTAGAGATAATTCTTCTGTTTCTTATTCTTAGTACTGCTCAGTTACCCTTTATTTAATCTAAAGGTGGGTGACATTTCAAATTCCACAACCCATGGAGATATATCTCATTCTTAGTTCTGAACCTTTATTTAATCTTTTCAAATTCCACAACCCATGTCTACTTATTCTGACTGCTCAGTTAAATGAACCCTTTATTTAATCTAAAGGGGGTAGACTTTCAAATTCCACAACCCATGTCTAGAGATTTCCATTCTTAGATTCCAAAAATGAAATGAACCCTTTATTTAATCTAAAGGGGGTAGACATTTCAAATTCCTCAACCCATGTCAGAGATATGACAAACAGTTTCTTATTCTTAGCACTGCAGCAAATGAAATGAACCCTTTATTTAATCTAAAGGGGGGGTAGACATTTCAAATTCCTCATGTCTAGAGATATTTCTTCTGTTTCTTATTCTTAGCACTGCTCAGGTTTATTTAATCTAAAGGGGGTAGACATTTCAAATTCCTCAACCCATGTCTAGAGATATTTCCAAGTACTTCTCTGCAGAGAATAAATTTCTTATTCTTAGTACTGTGGATTGAAATGATTGATTTAAAGTGAATTTGTCTAGATATTTCTTCTGTTTCTTATTCTTAGGCATAAATGAACCCTTTATTTAATCTAAAGGGGGTAGACATTTCAAATTCCAAACCATGAGAGATTCAATCCCTAAAGGGGGTAGACATTTCAAATTCCTCAACCCATGTCTAGAGATAATTCTTCTGTTTCTTATTCTTAGTACTGCTCAGTTATGAATAATGAACCCTTTATTTAATCTAAAGGGGGGTAGACATTTCAAATTCCTCAACCCATGTCTAGAGATAATTCTTCTGTTTCATTCTTAGTACTGCTCAAATATAAATGAACCCTTTATTTAATCTAAAGGGGGGTAGACATTTCAAATTCCACAACCCATGTCTTTTCTTGAAAATTCTTATTTTTTTTAACCCTTTATTTAATTCCCTAATTTCAAATTCTTAGTACCGCTCACTTATGAAATGAAATGAACCCTTTATTTAATCTAAAGGTGGGTGCATGTTTTATTGTCCTTCCACAACCCATGTCTAGAAATTTTCTTCTGTTTCTTAAAACTGCTATGAAATCCCTTTATTTAATTAAAGGTGGGTAGACATTTTCTTTTCCCATGTCTAAGATATTTCTTCTGTTTCTTATTCTTAGTACTGCTCAGTTATTTGCTCGCCCTTTTCCATGTTTCAAGTACACCTTTCTGTCTATGGATTTGATTCATTATTATTCTTTTGTCAAATTCAAACCAACACTGCTGGTTGCCAAGATCAATATACATGTAACCCAACACACTTTCGAATTTTCTTTCATGTTCTTATTGCAAATTTTGGCACTGTTTCATAATGTTTGAGCTATGAACTCTTTATTTAATCAACAAAGGTAGACTGTTTTCATTCCTCTACTCGTGTCTACGGATATCTCCTCTAGTTCTAATTTTTTTTACTACTGATCAGTTATTGCTTACTCTGTTTCCACTGATTCCAAATACATATTGCCTGTCAAGTATGACAAACAGTAGCAGCAGCAGCACTCCCATACTTTAGGTTTCTCTGCAGAGAACAATTCTAGTGGATTGATTGATTTGTTTGGTGGCTATCATTGTTCAATGGCTGGATTAGTCTGAATAGTAAAATAGTTACAATTTATGAGGATACCCACCGCTTTTTTTTTCTTTTTTGAAAACTGAATTTATAAATGCTGATGTTTTTATTGTCCCACTAAAATCTATGTCTAATAATTATCTATAGATTTTCTTTTTTTTAGAACTCACACACACAATGCACCACAAGTCTGTAACCTAACACTGAATTTTGATCTGAAATTTTCACTGTATAATGTTTGAGCTATGTGACTGATATTCCCTATCAAAATAAAGGCTTTCTCCTCCCACCCCCATACTAGGTTATAGACTTATTGATGTGCCTATAGTTCATGGCTGGATTATGAAAAATGACATTTGTGGGTTTTCTATTTTCAACAACTCACAGATGCTAGGGTGGTTTGCAATGCCTGCTCAGGTTTAACATCCAATGCAACCTGTAGTTTAGAATGCAACCTCAGTTGTTGCAGTTCCTGGGAAGGAAAGCTCATAATCTGGTGTGATCAATAGATGAACAAAGACAGTATGGTCAAATATTTGGTCACAATGACTTGTGACTTTGTGCTAAGCACAACCATCGATAGCTTCCAAACAGTTTCTACTACCTGACAAAGTTTGGGTCAAATCATTGTATGATTTTCAAGCACTTTCCAACATTTCTATTTACTGATATGATCTCCCCAGGTTAATATTATCAAAAAGTCACCTCTCTGACAAATTGACCTTGGTGAGAGTCAAACTTAGGGCACATTATCAAAATACTAATGATTTACCCACTTAGTAATGCAATCATCTGTGTTTGTGTATGTATCTGTTCAGTAGTCATGTTGTGATCTTGGATAAAATTAAACCAAATCATTTTTAATGAATTTCTTTTGTCTTTCTAGTTATGCTATTTATTGATTTGTACAGGCACCCAATGTTGACAGGAACACAGGCACCCAATAGCATAGAAATAAGAATTTAAAACCATTTTTATTGAATCTTCAGTTCCCAAAATCAAATTTTGTATCAAATTAAATTCCAATACTTTGCAAAACTCTAAGGTGAAATTCTGTTGATAAACAGAATTGTAAGCAGTTATCTTCCCACTATCTTGACACTAGATAATAACTTATGTTGTATTATAGTTAGAGTAACACTAGACTGCATCTTCTTTCTCCTCTCCCCAATTCCAAATATTCAATTATGGCCACTGACAAAATCGGAATAATGACTGGTAATAATCACTCACTCTCACTCAACTCCTGTAGACCTCCTGATGAGTATGGGGGGCAACATTTCTCAGTATGCTCCCCATAGCTTCTGTGGTTTTCATAGATAAGTAGTAAGAGTTGCTAGCCCTATGCCCAATCGGTTTTGAATTCAGAATTGTCCTTCTAGACTGATTACTTACCATGGATAAAGAGCCCAGTCTGTCCTATTTAACCCATAGCAGGGGGTAGAAAAGATGGCTTCTTACCATTCTCAAGAGTATTTGCAATTAAGTGAATGCAATGAATTCTACTGGAAGTCAAACCCAATTCTCTGATTTCTCATTCTGAACCACATAAGCAATAAATGGCTTTTAGACAAACATTAAAGGAGAGACTGTCTGGAATATTCCATTTTTACCAATCCCTCTGCTTTTTGTAAGAATTCCTTTTAGACATAAATTCCCAATGTTTTTCTTTTTTTCTTTTGTTTACAGGGACCGCTGGGATGGATCTTCATGGTTCCGCTGGCGGCCAACTTCCATCATGCAACTCTCAGCTATAGAACACAAGATTTTCCAATGTAAGATTCCATTTTACTCTTTCTTTCAATTTCAAATATGTATTTCCAAAACTCTTTTACAAAATCCCTGTGTATCCAGGAGAACATACATATATATATATATATATATATATATATATATATATATATATATATATATATATATGGATGGATTTTTTATTTATTAATCTGATAGATTTTTATTACTTAAACATTATTTTTAGTGGATACTAATATTTGAGTAGATTCACCATTTATTTATTAAACATTTATATTTACTTATTTTTGGCTACCAGCCTCATTATTCAAGAAAACTTCAGTATCTGTCTATATTTCTGAGATGAGGTATTATGTACACTATTTACATTGTTCGGACTATTGTCCTCATCTTTGTCGCCATATTTATTACGTTTCAGCCGTTGTATGCTCTTCAGGTGGTTTGAATGTTGAACTGAACCTTTTATTTCACTCGCTGGGGTAGACTGTTCTAGTTCCACGTGCCATGTCTAATGGATGTCAGTTATCAGTTATCTCCTGTTAATTCCCCTCTCCAAGTTCTCCACCGCCTTAACCAGGTATTGAACTCACACTCTTTGGATCCTGTCATTGGATCTAGCTAATGCCTTTATCCCCTGTGCCATGTGTCCTCAAGAGGATGCGGACGATAGTCTGAACAATGTAAATTGAGAAAAGTTACACTCTCAAGGTTGTGTATTAGGGATAGTATTTGTATATGTATACAAATAAACACATTCCAATTAAAAAAAAAAGTTTATTTGTGCTGCACCCCTTCAGGACACAGGCAATCATGGCTCTTCTCAACTTCCTATATCTTGTAGCCCTTAGCAGTTTTTTTTTCTTTTTTCTTAGGGCTCCTGACCTCCGTTCAACCATTCATTCATGCAAGCTTGTCAAGGAAAGTGGCTTGTTGCTTTTTCCTATCACTCTTGCCCTTACTGTGAGGGTTAAGTTCTCCAACCCCTCCTTTCTCATTATGTGTCCAAGGAATTTCAGCTGTCTCTTCATGATTGAGTAGAAATGTTTTTTTTGTTACCATTTTTTTTTTTTTAAAGAGTTCCTCGTTGGTTATTTGCTCAGTTTATGGAATTCTCAGTATCCTTCTGTAGAACATTTGTTGCCTCCAGTTTTCTCCTCATCTGTGGGCATTCACTGCCATATAAGAGGATGGCTATTGCATAGCAATCAAGCAGTCTTTTCTTTGTTTCTAATGACATTTTTCTGTTTACTCAGTATTTTAACTTTTGGAATGCCCCCTCCCTCACTCAGATTTTTCCATCCTCTGTTGAAATGCTTCCTTGATATTTAAGCTCCTGTACTTGCTTAATGTTGGCATCTCTAGTAACTCTCATCTTAGGATTTTTCCCTTGTTGATGACCGTGCTTTGTTTTCTTATAGTTCAAGGTTAGTCTTTTTTCTTACCAATTCTTTTAACTTAAATTCTCTTGAAATTTTATTTAGTCATTTTAAATGTTAAATATTTTATCCCATTTTATAATTTTTTTAGTTCTTTTTTTGCTCCTCTATTCCTTCCAGGCATTAGAAGCAAATTAGAATCAATGTTTGTTCCGATTCGTAGCAATGAGTGTCAAATCCGAACAATCATTGTGAATCGGAACCACCCACGGATCCCACTTGTGATGGTTCATGGCATGGGTGGGGGAGTTGGCCTGTGGACTCTCAACATTGACTCTTTGGCCACCAAGCGAACAGTCTATGCATTTGACCTTCTTGGCTTTGGCCGAAGTTCACGGCCATCATTCAGCAGTGATGCCATGGATGCTGAAAACCAGTTCATTGATGCTATTGAAGAATGGCGCCAACAGATGAAACTTGACAAGTTTATTCTCCTTGGTCACAGTCTTGGATCTTACCTGGCTACTTCCTATGCTATTCGGCACCCAGATAGAGTGCACCACTTGATTGCTGTTGAACCATGGGGTTTCCCTGAAAAACCCGTCCAAGCTACAAACCAACCAAAATTATCCTACTGGGCACGTGCAGTCATCACTATGGCCAGACCATTCAACCCTCTTGCTGTTATTCGAGCTGCTGGTCCTTGGGGTAAGTTACCTTTTTCTTTTAACCTACAGGTGGTTTCCTAGATTCATTTAAGCTACAGATGTTTTACTGCTCCAATAATATGTATATGTGAGAGGTGCTATCGAAAAGTTCAGGTAATTTAGCTTATGGAAAAAAACAAATTACTTGTCCTAACAAGTAATTTTCATTTTTTTTTTCACCCCCAAGTAAAGCGATAATGTCACTAAAACGCAAGGGGGTTACTGGAAGTGTAAAAGAAGGAGGACACTGAGAATGGAGAGGATTAAGAAAAGAACAAAAGATGAATGGGATTTGAGAAGATAGAAGATGATGATTGATGTTGCATTTAAACTTTTGAAGATTGTAGCTATCAGGGAAGCAAAATTCAGAAGGGAGTTACACAGGTGAGAAGTGCAATAAAAAAAACTGTTAGTGTAAAAGTAGCATTTTATCAAGCTAATTCAACAGTAAAATGGTGAGACCTTGTCGCCAATCTAGTAGCACACTTAAGGTCAGTCAGTTATGTGCCATGCGTGACACACACTTAGGTGATCATGTATCTTTTGATACATGACTGACAAGGCAAATTTTTTCCCACAGTAGGTTGCCGTTTCTTTCTGTAGTAGACCAGTTGCCATCCAAGGCTGTCCTGCTATTTACCCATAGCTTGGGGGGCAGAGAAGAAGAGGATTCATACCTTCCCATGGGCATTAGCACATATGTGAATGGATTTGACTGAAATTCAAACTTGTCTCTCCGATTACTCAATCCAAGCCACTATCCATTACTCCACAGCACACTTAAGGTAGTCAAGGATAAAAGCTCATCAGAGCAGTTGCCATGAAAATATTTGTAGAAAAGACGAAGGGAAGCCCCGTCACGTCAATGAGAAAATGACTGACATCGAGATGCCTGATCAGGATCGATTATATTGCAGATCCTTTTTTTTATTTTGTCAGGAATCTCGAGATGTGCAGCAGGAGCAACAGACCAAATATGCTAACAGTATTGAATGCATGGACGAGTGGCAGATTTATAAATGTACAAGATGTATTCTAACAGGACACAGTGAACAAATTTTCCTTGCAGTAGACGTAGCAATTGATTCCTTCAAAGTAGTATTAGTGTGCTGACTCACTCTTTGCAGTTAGTATCATTAGTAACAGCAATACTACATAGTATTCATTTATATCACACACTGCATTTAGCATTTTAACAGTAACTCTCTACCTTGATTGACTCTTGAGCCTTGTATTGGATGAAATTTAGTATTAAAAAAAATATACCCTTCATCTCTGTTAATATCTCGGAGACCAATTTTAATGTAACACTCTTCCAAAATGCAATAAATCCAGAGATAATTCTGTGAAGTTTCATTTAAACTGAAATCTTTTTTAAACAACCTCATGTCTGATGTCTTTGTCAGACAGAATTGTCTATATAATTAGGTTAGGAACAAATTGGCACCAGGGATGGTAGATTTAACTTTATTTATCCAAAGAAAATGGACAGATGGCTTTGTTGAGGCTGAGTGAAACTGGCTATAGCCCTCTCTCTCCCTAACACTTGCAGATAATTAAAAAATGATCTTGAAAAACAAATGTTGGCAACCATTTTGTTTACTGTATGCATTGGTGTCATAAAAAACAGAATTTGAACTTTAAAAAAAATCATCCTAATACCATGCATTATCTTACACTTGACTAAACCATGACATCATGTTGCTTAGAATGTCACTAAGGACAGTTTAAATAAATGCATTCAGTAAACATGTAACCTTTAGTCAACCAGATTGTTCAACTGTCGAACTCTCTGCCTCAAGCGGAGAGGAGCCTGGATGGGGCTTTGCCGAAGGACAGGGTTTCATCCGGGAGGTGGACATGCCCTGAACCTGTTTATATGGGTTCAAAGGGAATATTTTTGGCTGAGCCTACGGGCTCAGAAAGCCCATGGTAAACTCGGCCTTGTGCCACATACATCTCTCGTGGGAGGGTGTCTGTTAAATATAACATGTAACCTTTAGCTGCCAAATATTAATATTTTAATTGTTAATTAAAGTCTTAATTTAACAATGTAATTGGATGCGAACAGTCAGCATGTAAAATGTTAAACTGATCTCGCTAGTTTGTTTACATTAGTTTAGGCACAATTTTTTAAAAGATTAAAAAACAATTCTGTAAGATTTCTTCTAATAAAATCAGTTTTATTGAACTATATGGACATCAAACTGTGAAATATTTTGAAATTGTCTTGGTAGGTCCATTAGAAATGGATCTTAATGACCATTTCATTGACTGGGTGTAGTAACATTTTTTTTTTTTTTTTTTTTTTTTTTTTTTTTTTTGAACACATGTATTTTTATTTAAAACAGAAGCAATTCCTTTCCATACTTGCCATACCCCCATTTCAATTTGCAAGGGTCTGATTGATTAAATATAAAAAAAAAATCATCTCAATCCATTATTTCTTTAGGAATAGAATACAACTTTAAAATAGCTTTAGCTCCAATTTTTGCTATATTATTAATGAAATAAAGCATGACAGACACATAGCGTAGTTAGGTAGGTACAAGCGTATTAATATATAGATAACTCCTCCTACCAAAAGTTCAGACAAAAATCTAGCCAAATGTCAGACATGGAGTTGCCTTATATAATAAGCAAAGCTCAAATATCTGCATTTTAAATGGAAATTCTGGAAGTTGACTTGTACACCCAGTTACCTTATATATCAACATTTCTAACAAAATTTTTATGAAAGAGGCACAATGAGAATTTCAGGTCATATGTTTGTTGAACGCTTCAGATCCATTTTGTAGTCTTAATTTTTTTATTTTTTTTCTACTTTATTAGTTTTTATGACAACAGGGTTTTTTTATCATATGCTTTTGTGACCCAAACATTGTTGCTTTATCAAAATATTTTGCTTGTGTATTTTTCAGGTCCTGGATTAGTAAAGAAGTTCCGTCCAGATCTGAAACAAAGATTCTCACCTTTATTTGATGATGATACAATACTCAATTACATTTACCATTGCAATGCGCAGACCCCAAGGTAAGCAGAATTGTTTTTGGCCATTAGTCACTCATTGTGTGCAGGTCTTTCCATGTTGATGGTGAGAAATAGACCAATACCCAAAATGAGAAAAAAATTTCTTTAATCAATTTACTCCAAGCAAGGCAATAATGCCACTAAGGCACAAGGAGGTTACTGGGAGTAAAAGAGAATGAAAAGACTTTAGAAGGAACTAGAAACCCAATCTTAACCAGGAAACAAGGGATAAACCTCTACTCCTGTTCAAAAACTGGGACAGATAGTGAACAGGATGATGAGTAGACCTATCTACTCCTTTTGAGTAAAAAAAAAAAAATAGTAAATAAAATTTCAGGGTTGAGGCAGAGACATTAGAAATATAAAGTAGACTTTAAAAGGAACCAGAAACTCAATCCTAAACAGGAAACGAGGAATAAACTTCTGCTCCTGTTCAAAGGACTGGAAAGGTGTGAGAACAGGATTAACTTTTTGCTTTAAAACCAAGCAATGTAAATAAAAAATTTTTTTGCTAAAAATGTTATGGTGAAATATGAAATCCTGTTACATACAATTTATTAAATAAATTTATTCTAAATATAGAACTCTTTTTCCATATTCTGAAACAAATCTATTTCCCAACGCTATATAAGTACAATAATGCTTCCTATTCCTTCCAGCTATGAGTTAAATAACAGTGTAAACTGGGCTGTCTAGCCTTGTGTGGCAGCCAGTTTAAGAGAATATCTCTGAATTCCAAACCTTGGAGAAGGCAATGGAAAACTACTCCACTTTCCAAAGAATTCATTGCAATTCACATATAATAAAGAAAACGAATTTGTAGAGAGCCATGACTGACTGATTGTATCCTGAAGGGATATAACACTTAAAAATATATATATATATATATATATATATATATATATATATATATAAACAGGCATTGTTGTCTGATCCAGATATTGTGTGGAGCTCACTTCAGATGATGTCAGAATAGACTTTGAATTTAGTGTCCCTCAAAAAATTCAGGTGCAGATTTGACCTGAGGGATTACTTTGTAGCTGCTTTGGTCCATAATTCACTCAATGTTTGTGGCTTTGCCTCCATGTGAACACATGATTGACCCAATTATGTGCAAATACCTTTGGGAAAGGCATGAATCCATCTCTTCTCCTCCTCTCAGCTATGGTTAAATAGCAGGGCAGACTGGACTCTCTAGCCATAGTTGGCAACCAATCTAGGAGAAAAACAGTTGAGATTTGAAAACCATAACAATTGTCCATAGTCTCCCGACACTCAGCAATGATGACAGAAGCAAGAAAGCCAATACTAATGGTTGATTGATTTTGTTTAGCAGAATACTTTACTTTATTCGGTAAAAATTTCATTGATAATCATGCATTACTTTTTAAGTAATACACATTTTTATGTCTTTGTTGTTTCTGTTCCTTATATTATGGCCGCTACTATATATATATATATATATATATATATATATATATATATATAAGACACACACACAGGGTGCTATATTGTTACCATTTTATATTTTTAATTTCACACGTGCATTGTTTGTTTTTGATTTTCTCTCTCTCTCTCTCTATATATATATATATATATATATATATATATATATATATATATATATATATATATATATAATGTATGTTATAATTTTTTTTTTTTTTTTTCTTTAATCTTTTTGTCTTTTTTTTTTAGGAGAATCAGCATTCGGACAATGTCAATTCCATTTGGTTGGGCTAAGCATCCAATGATTCTACGGATAACAGACCTTGATAAATCCATTCCAATCACACTTGTCTATGGTTCACGTTCTTGGATTGATTCTAGCACAGGACAGAATGTGAAATATCTTCGCCCAGACAGTTACGTTGATGTACAGGTGAGAAATTTCTCAGTCATTTTTTTTTTTTTTACCACTAGGCCTTGTTTGATTACTGGTTGATAATTGCAACCATGTGTTGAAACAGACACACATTCATTGAGATAAAAAAAGGCTTTGTTTGTATCATTGTCATTCTTTTTCCTTTTTTTTCCTTTCTCTAATAAAAAACAGACAGAACTCTCTTTCTTCTACATATACTAGCATTAACATAAGCCTTGACCCCACTTGGGAAAATTTTTTTTTTTTCTTCAAGGCAGCCACCTCCTAATTTAACTCTCATGCACATACATTTTCTAACATCAAAACCTATAATGTAATGTTTTCCTTTCTTCAGCTATCTGTATACATACAAGTATATTTTATCTCTTGTATTATTACTCTTTGAGATAACGATATATGTTTTTATATATCAAGAACAATATTGGGGAAAATGTATGACAAAGCTTGTGACATGTTCTGTCCTTTAAGACTTCATCAGACTAAATTTGTTATGTTGGTGCAACTACACCAGCATCCCTCGTTTGTGTAGATGTGTACTCATACCAACATAAACTTAGTCTGAACTCCTCCTAAAGGATGAAACAAGTCACAAGAAAACTTTTTTCTACTTTGTCATACATTTTCCCCATTATTACTATTTATATAAAAATGTGTTAAATTCTTTCATATATTCAAATGTGCTCTTTCTAAAAAAATTTTTTAAATGTATAGATTACATTCAATTACATACAAATAAATTTTGGAAAGATATGAATTCATCTTCTCTCCCCAGTTATGGGTTAAATCATAAGACTTATCTAGAAAAATTATTCTCAAAAAGATTGTTAAAGCACTATTCACTCGAAAAAAAAAAAAAGTAATTTAAATAATCCACAAAGGATTGATAAGCTGAAAAAAAAAAAATTATTAAAATTCTCATTGTTTGATATTTATTGTTAATCTGACTGGAAAGGCCCTAGTTTCAGTTTACTGAATTAGAATAATTGCTTGTTCATGCCGTAGGGCATCTGGAATTTAACTGATCTAAGTGTTATAGACAAGCGTATGGTTGCAAGAAAGAAATACGACAACAGCAGAAATAGATTTACGTGGTTTATTTCAACAGGAACGTGTGTGTTTGGGACAGCTACCTTGTGGTAAAGTTCATAAGCCGGCTTTCAGATCTAGGGCGATCACTCATAGTAGTTCACACATGTTGACGGTGGTTGGTGCTCTCCTGCTGACAGCTGCTGAACGTGACCAGTCTCCTTTGTGGCCACCTGTTGACTGCCTTTGAACTTCCGTGTGACCCCTTTTATAGCGAATTTTATGGCTTAACAGGCTGGAGAAATGAAGCGAGTATAATTAGGTGGGAAGCATTTTTATTGGACGAAAAATAGAGCACTTTAATTATTATTTTATTTTTCGACTGGAACACGTGTGTCGGAAACATTTGTGAAGAAATATAATGTTCTCGCTCTTGAGTATTTGCCTGTAAATCAGCCGAGATATGTCTTATTTTATTTTATAACATAAGTTTCCAACAAGGGCCCCTGGAACTGATCTAAGTCTCCAATGTCAGACAATGGTTTAATGAATGGGTTTCTTCTGGTGTAGTAAAATAATAGTATACTAGTTAAGTATAGAAAGCAATTATTATTCATATTGTGGATAAGTACAAAACTCCAAATGCTGTTATGTCATAGATTATGTGCTTGACTAAAATCTTGCTTCAAAACTGTTGGTATATTTTACAGTCAAGAAAAGTAACTTTTAAGATTTTTATTTTTAAATTACTTCTCCCCAAGAAAGGTAACAAAGCCATTAAGATGCAGGGTATTACTGAGTGTGAATATAATAAATAAAAAAAATCATTAAGGAGCAAGTACAATAAAAGAACAGAAATTAAGGCAACACATAATGATTGACATTGTTCTTCAAAAATTTAAATGCAAACTTGACTGGAAAGCAAGAAATGTGAGAAAAGAAACTGTTAGCATAGAACTTACAGTTGCATCTAGCCATTTCAAATGTAAAATGATAAGGCCTTGCCACCAATCTAGTATTGCACTTAAATTCATAACGTCTAGGTTCCAATAAGGAAAATTCTTCAGAACAATTAATATGAAGATATTTATAGAAGATGCAGTGGGAAAGTGACTGATGCCAGGTCAGGACCAATGACATTGCAGATTGTAGTGGTCATGGTTACATGTAATTGTCAATTTTGTCTGTTGGGCATTTATGCCAAAGTTTACATTAGTATTATTTTTGCTCTGTTCTTTTTGCTAAACAATGTAGGTGAAGCAACAGTATTGAAGCAAAAAATTAAAAACTAAGAATGGTGTTAACAGATAAAAGGGAATACAGACAAGTGATCGCAGTGTTCTGAATTCAAGACAAGAAAGAACGAAACTATCTAATTGGCTAATATGAAATCCCAACATGCATCTGTATGATCTGTCTATAAATTTGGGGATGGGGAAGTTTTTTTTTTTTTTTGTAGTCATTCCTATGCCAACACAGATTCTTCTTTGGGTTTTATCAAGGATCTCTAAATATACAGCACCAAAAGTGGAAGAGAAAATGTCAAGGACTACTGTTTAAAAAGAGAGAAAATGTCAAGGACTACTGTTTAAAAAGAGAGAAAATGTCAAGGACTACTGTTTAAAAGAGAGAAAATGTCAAGGACTACTGTTTAAAAAGAGAGAAATGTCAAGGACTACTGTTTAAAAAGAGAGAAATGTCAAGGACTACTGTTTAAAAAAGAAAAATGTCAAGGACTACTGTTTAAAAAGAGAAAAATGTCAAGGACTACTGTTTAAAAGAGAGAAAATGTCAAGGACTACTGTTTAAAAAGAGAGAAAATGTCAAGGACTACTGTTTAAAAAGAGAAAATGTCAAGGACTACTGTTTAAAAAGAGAGAAAATGTCAAGGACTACTGTTTAAAAAGAGAGAAAATGTCAAGGACTACTGTTTAAAAAGAGAGAAAATGTCAAGGACTACTGTTTAAAAAGAGAGAAAATGTCAAGGACTACTGTTTAAAAAGAGAGAAAATGTCAAGGACTACTGTTTAAAAAAGAGAGAAAATGTCAAGGACTACTGTTTAAAAAAGAGAGAAATGTCAAGGACTACTGTTTAAAAAGAGAAAAATGTCAAGGACTACTGTTTAAAAAGAGAGAAAATGTCAAGGACTACTGTTTAAAAAGAGAGAAAATGTCAAGGACTATTGTTTAAAAAGAGAAAAATGTCAAGGACAGTTCTTGACAAAAATCCAGAAAATGTCATATGTTTCCAGTTTATTTATGTGGGGTTTCACTTGAATTGTTTGTTGATAGAATTTGTCTCAAGTATTACCCCCTATCATGTCAATCTAACCAATCATATTTTTCCTTCCATTTTCCTCCTACCAACTCTCTACATCTCAACATGCAGCTAGCAACTGTCACAAGCAGTATCTGAACTAACCCAAGGGACAGTCCATTTCCATGAACAGGCTGACCAGAACTTAACTACTTCAATCTAATCTAATATAAGCTTGTGACAAAAATCATGAGCATCTATTTTAGTGTCACTTGTTTCAAAAAGTTTTCCTTAATCTATCTCTTATTTTATTCCCCTATGGTCAAGTAGGTGGCTGCCCAGAAGACCAGAGACTTTATTACTGGTCATAAAACACTTGAAACTAAGATGAAATCACACACTGTTCCCCTCTATGTGAGTGTCCCAATCAAAGTATCACAATATCATACATATATATACTTCAGCAGAATGCTTGTATCTTTTATCACAATGAGAAAGCAAAACTTCTTAGATGAAGTTTAAGTTCTATATATGTTTCAATTAGCCCCATTGTTTTCATTTGTATTCACTATAAATTTGCTGGTTCTTACTTGCAAAATATTCTGCTCTGTAACCAATTTACATTCTCTCACCGTACATCCATAACTCTAAAAATGTTTCTTTACAGGTAATTCAAGGGGCAGGACATCATGTTTTTGCTGATCGTTGTGAAGAATTCAATTCTTTAATCAATGAAGTCTGTGATTTGGTTGACCATCAATCATTACAGACCAGAAACCTTGAAAATGATGACAGAGATAATGATATATTCTGAACTGCTCCATTTTCTGTATTGAATTTTACAGTTAAAACAATTTCATGACTTCTGGTGGTGCTATACTGACAAGAAGAGGAGGTAACTCTGAAACAAATCCTCCAAACCCAGGATTTAAAAAAAAGAAAAAAAATTTCTTTTTTCTTTTAAAATAAGATCTGTGATGTAAACCATGCACCTGAAGGTATTCTATTTTTTTTTCCTTCCTTTCTCTGGTATATAACCATACAAAACAAAAAAAAAAAAAAAAGTTAAAAACAAAAAACAGACAAATTTAAAGTAAGTTTTTAAAATTAGATTTGTTTTGATAGTCATTCATTTTTTTTTTTTCATAACGTCATCCAAGTATCAGATGAATTAATTCTTTTGAGATAAACACAAAAATTTAGTGTACTGGCCTCACATGTTTTGGTGCAAGCAATCTGATGCTTTTTCTTAGTTAATTTTAAACACAGTCCAAAAGTAAAGTCCATTTTTTACTGGTTAGCTCCACATTTTGCCATACAGAACTTTCATATTAAAAAATAAAAAATTATTACCTATAGTCAAATTTCCCTAATGTTCAAATCAATTCAGAATGTCTTCTGGGGAAGGGAGGGAGGGATTGACTTCCTAATTGCTCAATAACTTAACTTTTACATGATCTTGATAAAACAATATAAGGCACGATGGAAATTTTTGTCATGGCAGCCATTTTCTTTTTTTTTTTTTTTTTTTTTAACTATGCCAATTTTAATCACTTATCTTGTTTACATTTCTGAAATTGTGTTTAAGTTTAAAAGGGAGATTTTATTTTCTTATTTGCAACAACCTAACCTAATCAAACTTTTTTTTTTATATACAGAGGGTATGTTATTCTGTATCAGGAAGCTAATGTTGGAAAATGGATGCTATTTTTGGATTTAGCACTCCAAAATTAGGCCCGTCTTATTAAAATTGGTTATTCTAAACATGACTTAAATGAACTTTCAGATGTAGTGTATATTTCAAAATCATTTTAAAAGTGTTCTTTTGACATATCACCAGTTCTGCAGTGGCGTGTGAGCCTGTAAAGTTTAAATATTTCTAAATAAACAGAAGAAAAAAAAAAGTGTATATTTGGATAAAATATAAAAGGGGTGGGGAAAAAAACAGCCAATGTGATAAATGTTCATAAATACTTTAATATATTTCTGAAGCTAAAATAAAAGGACAGTGAAAAATACTTTGCTTTATTTTACATACTACAGTTGGTGGTGGCTTTGACATCTTCCTTTTCATAAATTTTGTTTTACAAAAGTCCTGAAGAGTTGTATTTACCACATATTGTTCAGTTACTTAAAGCCCCCGCCCTCAAGTTTCAAATGGAAAACCACTCCATTATTCCAAGAATACAGAGATCTATAATGGCATTAATAAAATAAAATTTACTTTGATAAGATTTATAATTTTCTTTTCCTTGTAGATGTGTAAAAAAAGTAGAAACCTCCAAATAACATTTAATTTTTGGAACAGGCATAGGTTTCATAATGGACAGCTTTTGAAATAATAAAATTTATTTTAATTTATTTTTATATAAAGTAATTCTTATCAGATCTGTCAGCCTTTAAGATTTTCACTTATTTTATATGGAAGGAGAATGGAATGTTTTTAATCAAAATTGATTTAATGCTTAGCTTGTGATATCTGTTGTAACCTACAGGCATTTATTTCAAACAAGGCATGACTCTTAAAAATATCATCCATGCAAAAACATGTACAGTTGACAAACTTGAGAAATAGATTATAACGATGGGTTTGTTCTCATACATTCAGAGAAAAGTATAATTAAATAGACAATGAATTGTGGTGAGCTGATGGGCTTTTGAGGTTTATGTGATATAAACAATTTATAGAGAATGAAATTTAAATCTTATTTGGGCAGTAGTACTGTACCTAAAATAATTTTTGATTGCATAATTATTGGGAGGCAGGGGGTTTGTTTGATTTCTTTCAAAATATTAATGAATAATCATTAAAAAAGATTTTATGCACTACTCAATTCATAGTTCACAGGATAAAAGCTTTAAATATGGTTACCATGTTTATGAAATATGTAAATATAATTATTTTACAACCTTATCTTTTTACTTTTCATAATGTGTCACCAGTGTTTGTTTTTTTTCTTAAAAGTTGTTTGGAAAGAAAATATTGCTTTTTAAATAATTATTCTTAAAATGAAAGTTGGGATACATCTCTCAGACTCAAAATTCTTGCAGTTATTGGAATCTTAAGTAAGAACTGCATTTTTTTTTTTTTTTTTTTATTTGTAAAATATACAAAAATTGACTTAAAAGATTTGGTCTAAATTGTTTTTTTGTGTAAGTGCAGACACTTTTTGTAATTTGCTGATTATCCAGGTTCACGTGTTTTTTTTGTTTTCTTTTTTTATCATGTGCTACCCTTGATATACTGAATGTTAAAATAGTCACTGAGGATGAAGATATCTTATAATCATCCCCCCCCGCCCTCAAAATGTGATAAATATAAGATTATTAACATGTTATCTCTTGGAACCAATTCGACCTATAGACTATTTTTAAATTTAATTTTTGGTACATGAATTGATTTTGTGAAATTCAAGTCTAGCTTTGATCATATTATTTCATGTAAATACTTGGTTAATTTTCATTAGTCATAAAAATTCAGTTATACAACTTCCAAATTATTTTTTTTTTTTTTTTACTCTGAATATAAGTAATTTATACTTTATAGCCATTGCCGGTTGATGTTTAAAAAAAAAAAAATGCTTTCATTTTATAATTATGTATACCATATTTCCTACCATCCAAAGTGCATTTGTTTTCTCCCCCCATTGCTCAAGGTTATACACAGATAATTTTTGATTATTCAATATTTCCCATCTCCCAATGGCTTACAAGAAAAAAACTTGTAAATATATTTGATTGGAACAAATCATTCGTTTTCAAATTGGCGGGCAATTATATATGTTAGGAAATTAATTGGCCTGTTGGATACTTAAGCTTTTTAAAGAAAAATCAATGTTCAATCCAGTCATGGTAGTTTTTTTTGTATAACAACTGGCAGAAAAAAAAGAAAGAAAACTTGTACTATGCAATTTCTCATATATTGAAACAGACAAGACCTAAAAATGGTTGGCAATAAAGTTAGTTGCAACATCATAATGATGAATACAAATTTGTATATATATCACTTTTAAAAGATAATATTGAATTGTGATTATTCTGTGGTTTTAATGTTGAGAATATAACACGAGTAAAATTCAAATAAATCTATATATTGTTGGTATTTGCATATAAATTACATCTACCATTTCTGATTTGTTTTTTGTTTTTTAACTGAACATGGTGGAGTAAAAAGTGTTTTACTTTATATATTTGTAATCAGCGGTTTTCAAATATTTTATCAGAAGAATGGTCATTAGTAAATTGCTAAACAATTACTCCTGCCAATCAGGACAATTTAATTTGGAAAAGTCAAGAATTGTTTAGCCTGTTGATTTTTTTTTTTTTTTTTAAACCATGTTTCACTAGTCTCATGTCTTATCATGGAGGAAAATATTGCCATGTAAAAATATGGAATCAACTTTGACAATGATACCATCATAAAAAAAATGCTAAGACCTTCAGCTGTTGAGTTCCTTTGTTTGATTTTACTGTTACATCATTTTCACCAACCCATTTGGTAGTTTTTTTTCTTCTCCTATGGCCAAGTTGAAATATGCTAATGGCAAAAAAAAAAAATTCAAAAAAGGTAAAAACACTTGGAATGAAAACTGGTAAAATATTTAAAATCAAAATTTTTTTTTTTAATTAAAAATTGTCATTTAATTTTTATAATAATAAAACTGATATAATGATTTTTATAACTTGCTTAAAAGATGGAATTTTGACTTGTTACAATACCTTACTTGAAAATAGTTTTATATTTCAGACAATCAGGTATTTTGATATAATTGTATTTTTTTTTTCTCTTTGAAGTTCTATAAAATTTATAAGAAAAAAATTTAACTTTTCAATTTTTCATTATTGAGACACTAAACAGTTTTTTCAAAACATTTTGCTCATCTGTAAATGTGATTTTATAAATTTAAAATTCCTTTTTAGCAATTATGTAAAGATTGTAAAATAAATCTGAAGTCATTAAGTACAGACTTTACTTCTTTAAGGGCCTTCAACATTATATTCTGATTGGACATTTAACAAAATCCAATGTTATATGTTGCTTGACAAAAGATTTTATAAATTAAAAGAAAATTGATGAATTTTGTTGCTACACTTGACAGACTAATTAATATAAGAGTGTTTTCAATTTCTTTTTTTTTTTTGTTTTTCCATATTACTCTAGATCACTAATTTATAAAGAATTTTTTTTTTTTTTTAATTTTAAGAGGGGGTAAATTTGGTATGTAAAGACTGATTCCCACACCCAACAAAGATAAAATAATTTAAATTCATATTTTACAGCTGTTTTGAAATTATTTAAATTTCTTTATGCAAGCATTAACATGACACAAGAGAAAGTTAATATTTTTAAAACCTTAACTTTTTTTTAACTTTAAATTATTTAATTTCATAAGGTTCTATGTGTTTTGTTTTTTTTAAATGTGTTATGAACTTTTTGCTTATGTTGAGTCATCAATCTATATAGCCAACCCAACTGAACCCTCTCTTAAAACTTAGCAAATGGGGGAAAAAAAAAAAAAAAATGTATCATGATCTGGAGTGCTTACAGTGATATAAAAAGTGGGGGAAAATGATTATTTGTTAGAGAGGTGTTTTTTTCTCTAGAAATGCTAAAAGACTTCCTTTTTATAAAATGTACTGCTTAAAAATATATAAGGTTATGTTTCACAATTTAAAAATTTGTTAAATCTGGACTAGCTTTTTAAGTGACACACACTTTGAAAAGAATATTGTAATAAAACATCAGAGTTATATTCCCTTGTTGTAGAGGTTCTATTTTATAATTGTATTAATCAAAAAAAAAAATATATATAT